AGGAAAGTTGGTTATGATTGCTTATAATAATCAGTTATCTTGATACCTAGATTTTTCATGGGTCAATTGTTTACAAATGAGAAGTATAAATTAATCACCGATTTATAGGAAAATTTATGACAGGAAAAGTGATATCCTTCCATATAAATCATAGGCAACGTTGGTAGGTGATAATGTAATTTTACGTGCAAATTATCGTTAGGTAGGTTACAATATAACCATTGAGACAGATTTAATAGGTTATGATGTAACATTACCTACAAAATGTCTTAGGTAGGTTGCAACATATGCAATTGATAAAAGAATGAAGATACTAGAAATGTTATAACATAACCTGCCAGTCCAACGTATAACCGGGTAGGTTACAATGAATAACCTTTAAAAAAGTAAAAGTTTATAACCTTAAAAGATTACTTTATTCGGTTTGTAATGTAGAAAAAGAGAATCAAAGAAGAAAGATTACAGTTGTTCCTAATGTAAGGTTAGTCTGTGTGACGGTCAAAAGCTGAATTATTCACTATTTGAATATGTACATAATTTTTCTTGTTTATACACAGCATTTTCCGCGTCGGAAGGCAATTTGGTTGCAATGGAAAGCTATAGCTAGCTACCTGTTAGAGTGAGCGTAGTGCGAATCACGATTTTCATTTCGTTCCAACTCCAATTTTTTTTTTAATTCGACCATACAATAACTTCGCCTCTTAGGACAGGATTTACAGGTTTTGGAATTTAAAAATAAATTACGTTGACGACATGATTCCAACGGTTCGGCCGAATTCCGCCAGAAGGCGTTGAATTCTTTCCTTTCTATCTCCCTGAACATATTTTTTAATCCTCTCTAATTTCTGACGTCACAGATGTTTCAGATAGATTTCATAACCGTGACGTCATAATCGTTGGGGAGTTTTTAAAAATTGAAAATCGGTGAATTGCTGGACCTGTTGTGTTTAGCTATTTTTGAATCTTCTAATTTTATTTTTATTGCACTGTTCGAGTGCCTGATTTTGTCGTTTTTTCCTCTTTGTGTCTCTCATTGGCTAATTTCCATACGGTCCGGTGACACGTCAAAATGACGTCGGGACGCAATCTGCTTCCGACCCAGTTTCGGGTATTGTACTGGGTGGATCGATCCTCTGCCGTCTTACACCTGCCGTTTGTTTCACTTGAATAATGAGAGGAGAGATGTCATGATGACATAAGTTGGCCATGACACAGCGAGATAGAAACCGCTGGAAAACTTGAGACGGGAGGGCCGAAACAAAGCGATCTGTTAAAAAAATATCAATGACGTCACGCGAGAAAAAGAGGATTAAGGATAAGTCGTGACGTCAAAGAGGGAGAACTGGTTAAATAAACTGTATGGGAAAAGGTTCAGATTTGCAATTTTAAACTAAATTCGCTGAAGTAAAAATCTTTTCATTAATATCTATGACGTCATAGTAGTGAAGAAATCCCAACAATTGTGACGTCACAGAAAAGCAAATTTGTTTAACTGGTTGATTAATCTATTATTTTGCAATTAAAAAAATAAAATAAAATAAAATAACCATGATTATTAACAAACCAATGAAATAAAAAAATCGAAAAAAAATCAATTATATCACACAGTATTTTGATGGCTGCTGGTTAACCTGGTCGAAAAAGTATGTGATCTCAATACAATCAATGGTTTGAGCTAAACCATTTACAAGTTTATTTTACATTTATTAGAAAAAAAAAACACGGATTTTTAAAATATCGATAACGCCAAAATCTGATAGACTTTGGAAAACAGTGGCTTTAAAAAATAAATAAATTAATTAAAAATAAATAAAAATTAAAAAAAACACTTCACGATATATTTCTATAATGCCTCATCGCAATGACGTCATACGCGGAGAGGGGAAAATCCTCATGGTCGTAAAAACGTGACGACACAAACGGGGAATCAATGGACTTAATCCTTTTCCTAATCCTACGACGACATTAATTGCGAATCGTTTAAAAAAAAAACTTTAATATATTATGTTGAACAATTACCCAACCTGTGACGTGTTATCGGTTGGTAATTTTTTAAATAAGGGTTGGTATTTTTTTCTTGTTTCCCCCAATCCGATCTTTCACAGAATAATTCCTACAATTCGAATTCATCTGCTTTATTACTCTCTTATGTCTGACGTCTCAGTTTGTTCAAGATTTCAAATTGTGGCGTCATGATAATGATAGTTCGCCATAGATGTGGAATTTAAAATCACGGTAGGGGAGTAAATCGGTTAATTGATGAACCAGATTATGTTTTGAATTTTCCTAACGGTTCTAACTTTATTCGTATCGCACTTTTTGACCTCATAATCGTTTGCATCGAACTTTTTGTCCTCATGATCGTTAAATTGATTAATAATTTTATAAATTTTGACTAAACCGTGGTTTTTTAAATAGTTCTTTTGTACCCTTTTCATGTATGATTTACTGTGACTGGCTTTCAATTTGCATTCACCCCGTCCTATTTTTTACTCAATAAAACAAAACCCCCCTCCTTGTATATTATATCGCAACCCCCCTCCCCCCACCAAGACTTTCTTCAATTCCACAATCCGGGAGGGTGGGTTTTAAGCGGATTAAAACCACCCTCCCAGGTCTGTAGTGAAAACAGCATAACGAGGGGGGTTGGATTTAAATTTTGTTTGTGTTCCTGTGGGGGTGTAAATGAAATGGCGGGGGGTGGTTGCGCAAGTTCCGTGGTGTCGGGGGCGCAGGCGTTGGTGCAGTTCATTCAAGGGCAGCTTGAACCGGAGACACGTGCCGTGAAAGAAAATTTTCACCTTAAACAAAAAATTTATTGTAAAAAAAGTTGAAGACTAAATTTTTTAAAATTCACTTTCAAAGGTTTTTAATATATAAATTGCACTTATTCAATTAGCACAATTAGATTTTGAAAAGAGCGTTTCTTAAAGAAAAAAAGCATTCTTTTTCAACAATGATTTTCCTAGAAAAAATTCAGCTTTGTTAAAAAATAAAAACCGAAAAGGAACAAAATTTTAGCCTGTTTCTTGCCAAGATTTGTTTTTGGAAAGATTTTTTGTTAATATTCCATGGAAGAAAGCCATTTCCAGGAAGATTCCCATCCTTTACGATTTTTTCTCGGAAATCTTTTTTTTCTGCTATTTTTGGGAACAAATAAAACTTAATTTTTCCCTAAGATTTCCCTAGAAAAATTACATAGATTTCTAAGAAAAAATAAATAAGTGATAACAGTAACTTAGTCGTGTTTGTCTGTTAACAGGAAGATTCCATACTTCACGATTTTTTCTCGGAAATCTTTTTTTTCTGTTGTATTTAGACACAAATCAAGCTTCAATTGCCGAAAGATTTTCCTAGAAAAACTGGTTTCTTAGAAATAAAATCACCGACTTGAAGTAAGCTCGTACAGTTGTTTACAGGAAGATTCCCATCCTGTACGATTTCTTTCTAAGAAATCTTTGTTTTTCTGTCGTTTATAAAAATATAATAATATATAAAATATAAAATATAAATATAAAAATAAAAAATGTTGAACCTGGCTGCTGTTTCCAGGAATAATTACCATACTGTAGTATTTTTTCTCTATAGTATTTTATTATATGTTTTTCTGAGAACAAATCATGTTTCATTTTACTAAAAATTGCTTTATAAATAGCCCTCTGGTTTCTTCTCTTCTTACTTAAAAAAATAAGCTGTTTCCAGGAAGATCAAAATGTTGTAAGACTTCCACGATAAATTTTTTTTCTGAAGATTTTTTTAGAAATACATCTCTGTTTTCTAAGAAAAAAAGCAAATATAAAAAATGTTGAACCTGGCTGCTGTTTCCAGGAATAAACCATACTGTAGTATTTTTTCTCTATAGTATTTTTAATCTGTTTTTCCGAGAACAATTCATGTTTTATTTTACTAAAAATTGCTTTATAAATAGCCCTCTGGTTTCTTGTCTTCTGACTTACAAAAAATAAACTGTTTCCAGGAAGATCGTAATGTTGTAAGACCTTCACGGTAAATCTTCATTCTCTATTATTTCCGAGAACAAATCTATAGTTTCTTTTTTCTGAAGATTTTCCTAGAAATACATCTCTGTTTTCTAAGAAAAAAAATGTTGAGCCTAGCTGCTGTTTCCAGGAATAATTTCCATACTGTAGGATTTTTCACGATAATATTTTTTATCTGTTTTTCCGAGAACAAATCATATTTCATTTTACTAACAATTGCTTTATAAATAGCCTTCTGTTTTCTTCTGTTTCGATTTTAAAATATTAAGCTGTTTCCAGGAAGATCGTAATGTTGTAACACTTTCACGTCAAATCTTCATTCGCGGTTATTTCCGAGAACAAATCGTGTTTCTTTTTTCAATAGACTTTCCTAGAAAAAACCGTCTGCTTTCTAATAAATAAAAAAAGTACAAAGACCGAGTTTGGTTGTTTCCAGAAAGATTCCCGTCTTACAGGATTTTTTCTCGGAAATCTTTTTTCCTCTATTATTTCCGAGAACAAATCATTTTTCTTTTTTTCAGTAGACTTTCCTAGAAAAAACTGCCTGCTTTTTAATTTAAAAAAAATATATATATGTACACAGACAGGGGTCTGGTTGTTTCCAGGAAGATTCCCATCTTGCAGGATTTTTTCTCGGAAATCTTTTTTTCCTCTGTTTTTTCAGAGAAGAAATTTTTATTTTCCAAAATATTTCCCGAAAAATATCCCTGTGCTTTCTAGAAATAAAATATATGCAAAGACTCTCTTCTGTACGATTTTTTCTTGGAAATTTTTCTTCTTCGTTAACTTTGGGTCGAGTTTTTGTGGATTTTTTTTGGGTCATTGGGTCGTCGGTTTGAAGGTTGGTTTTTCTTCCCCCCCCCAAGAAGACCCAATATGGCCGTCTTTGAAAAAGAAAAGAAAAGAAGGACTGTGTTGTAAGGGTACTTCTTTAACAAGTAGCCCAATTTATGATATTTTTTTCTTGTGGGTTCGAGTGGTAAACTGGGTTTTTGGGTTTACCTGGGGAGGTCCTGTGTATGCAGTAGTCCTTGTATCCATCCGGAGGGCTCAGGGTTAGCTGGTCGACGAATTCCACAGGAGGATCGAAAGGGGTTAGGTCTAGGGCTTGTAACTCTTCCTCGTCGTCGTCCTCGGCGTAGCAGTAGTCGCCGCCCCCGCACTCGCACCCTCCGCCCCCGCATTCTTCCCTTATGAGTATGACGTAGTCAGCGTCGAAGAACTTGTTGAGCGACTCGTCGAACTGTACTTTGTGCTTCTTCCTCTTCTTGGACGAAGCCCTCTTGAGGGCGGATTTGATCTTGGAGTCTGGCTCGTGCTTCATGGAGCCGCCCCCGGTCAAGACTGAGCTGTTATTGATCAGAGTGGGCGGCCGGGGGCGCAACTCGTACCCGCTCTGCGCCGACCCGCTCCATTTCGAATCTTTGAGCCTCACGCCGATCTCCTTCTCGAAGACGAGCTGGTTCTCGTAGTCCTCATCGTCTTTGGACCCTTTCACCCTCTTGTACTCGTGGTAGCTGACGATCCTGCCCCTCTCACCCTTCTCCTTCGCCTTCCTCGCTTCCTCCTCGCACATCTGCTCCAGCATTTCGAAAGTCTCCAATTCGGTCTTTTCGACGTCCGAATCGTTGCCGGAGTCTTCATCTTCCAAGTCCTCCTCTTCCTCTTCGATCGTCTGGAGGTAGTTCCAACCGGGAACTTCTTCGTACTCTTCGCAGTCCTCGAAGTCCTCCTCCTCTTCCATGGCGTCTTCCTCTTCCGAGTCTTTCCCGCTGTCGCTCGACTCCTTCTTCCTAGACAGGATTTTGCCCTCTTTTTCGCACCTTGGGCTCAGAGAGGAGTCTGTGGCGTCCGACTCGGCCCCCGGCTCGGGGCAGACGTCCGGGAGGACGGACCGCATCCTGCCAGGTTCAAGCTTTCATCTGGAACAAAAAAGGAACGAACGGTTACAAAACAACAACCGCAAAACGACATGCTAAATGTCTAATCCCATACCCCCACAATCGATAGACAAATTTACAAAGTTTCAAATGACCCCTCAAAGACTCATACAAAAGACTCAAACTGCAGGCATACCAGAAAATCCCATGGTATAACTTACCACTAGACACCTTTACAAGGTGTACCGGAATTCAAATTACTCTTCAAACTGTCTCATACCAAAGACCCAAAACCGCAGGGATACCAGATATCCCCATGGTATGACTCAGTCATAACACCTCATGGTATGAAGAATCAATAGGCAACTTTACAAGGTATACTTGATTTCAAATTGTTCTTCAAACTGACTTATACCAAGGACCCAAAACTGCAGGCATACCAGAAAACCCAATGGTTTGACTCAGTCATAACACCCCCCTTGCATGAAGTCTCAGTAGGCGACTTTACAAGATATACCGGATTTCAAATTGCTCTTTAAACTGACTCATACCAAAGACCCAAAACTGCGGGCATACCAGAAAATCCCATGGTATGACTTAATCATAACCCCCCATGGTAGAAGTATCAATAGGCAACTTTACAAGGTATACTTGCTCTTCAAACTGACTCATACCAAAGACCCAAAATTGCGGGCATACCAGAAAATCCCATGGTATGACTTAATCATAACACCCCATGGTAGAAGTATGAATAGGCAACTTTACAAAGTATACTTGCTCTTTAAACCGACTCATACCAAAGACCCAAAACTGCGGGCATACCAGAAAATCCCATGGTATGACTTAATCATAACACCCCATGGTAGAAGTATGAATAGGCAACTTTACGAGGTATACTTGCTCTTCAAACTGACTCATACCAAAGACCCAAAACTGCGGGCATACTTGAAAATCCCATGCTATCATCCTATCTGGCATAAAATAGCCGTTCAGCCCGATCTCAAGTCGAGGCATTTACACATGGTATATGCCATGTGGTTCTTAAAACCATCTCACTTCAAGCAGCCAAAATTACAGTCATACCAAAAATTCCCATGGTATCAATCGATCTGGCACCAACCCAATACCAAGTGACTCTCCTCATTATAACTACCCTCCCAATCCTCCATAAACCGCCTTTTAGTCCGGACAAACGGATGTTTTCAACCAAATTGTGGTATGATTTGAAATTTATTGAGGTTTTTATATTATGAATGAATTCAATTCAACCCCTGATGGGTGATCAAGGTGGTACTGGTGATATAAGACGTTTCTCCTTCAAAATAATAACAATTAAAAAAGTCAAATTTATTCTTTTTAATCAATAAATTGAGTCCACCAATAGACAGTCGATTGATCCAGTGTATCAATCATCTCTTGAGTGATTCGGGTTCATCACTACAAACCTGACCCGGAAAAAAACTCGAAAAAATGGCGAGGATAAAAAGACACCCTGAGTTTACCCTCTATCAATCAGGTTCAAAATCAAACATGAATTAATTGATGAAGGTTTACTTTTAAGAAATTAATCAAACGAGTTCAGCTTAGGCTAGGTTTCCTTCTGCTACACCTATTCATACCAATGTACAATGGCAGCTTTATCAATCATAAAGCGTTTACACCATCATCGATCGAGCAGATCAATCACATGTTGGTCGGTCAAGTTTCAAGACAAACTCACTCACTGTACGAAGTGGAGGTTAGGTTTGTAACCTTTTACAACCTCCATCAATCAAAATAAAAAAAATCAATCATGAACTGATTGATGAAGGTTTACTTTTAAGAAATTAATCAAACGAGTTCAGCTTTGGCTAGGTTTCCTTCTGCTACACCTATTAATACTGCTGTACAATGGCAGCTTTATCAATCATAAAGCGTTTGCGCCATCATCGATCGAGCTGATCAATCACATGTTGGTCGGTCAAGCTTCAAGACAAACTTACTCATTGTATGAAGTTGAGGTTAGGTTTGTAACCTTTTACAACCTCCATCAATCAAAATAAAAAATCAATCATGAATTGATTGATGAAGGTTTACTTTTAAGAAACTAATCAAATGAGTTCAGCTTAGGCTACGTTTCCCTCTGCTACACCTATTAATATGGCTATACAATGGCAACTTTATCAATCATAAATGGTTTGCGCCATCATCGATCGAGCTGATCAATCACATGTTGGTCGCAAACTCACCCACTGTATGAAGTGGAGGTTAGGTTGGTAAGGTTTTACAACCTCCATCAATCAGGCTAAATCAATCATAAATTGATTGATGAAGGTTTACTTTTAAGAAACTAATCAAACGAGTTCAGCTTTGGCTAGGTTTCCTTCTGCTACACCTATTCATACCAATGTACAATGGCAGCTTTATCAATCATAAAGCGTTTACACCTCGATCGAGGTGATCAATCACATGTTGGTCGGTGAAGTTTCAAGACAAACTCACTCACTGTATGAAGTGGAGGTTAGGTTGGTAAGGTTTTACAACCTCCATCAATCCAAATAAAAAATCAATCATGAATTGAATGATGAAGGCTTACGTTAAGCTTAGGCGAGGTTATAACAATAAAATGAATAAATATGGCCTAATATATTACAACGAATTTGGATATTCAACCACCATCAATCCATCTCCGATATCAATCTTCAATTGATTGATGAGAGATTTTCATTAAAAGAAAAACAGCATACGACTAAAATTGAACTGTTAAGGAAGAACCCGGGTTTTTAATAATCCTAAACTGTGTAGGCTAATCAATCATCAATCTTTCATTTGATGATTGATAGTGATTAACTTCAGAAAAGGAAACCGAAAACATTGAAGTTCAGCCAAAATAGAGGGCCTATAAGCCGGAGTTTAAACGTCATCAATCAATCATCTGATTGATTGATTGATGTAGGTTTATCTCGGTTAAATCCGCGAAATGAAAGGCCTATTCCAGGTTTCTAAACCGAGGAGATTATCCGAGACGAGACGGCCGATGTATGAAACCCGATCAATCATCAATCACGTTGATAATTGATTAATATAGGCAACTGTTTATAGTTTTTTTTGCCCGCTTACACATAATCCTATTTACCTCCAAAATGGTTACAAAAATTTGATTGAATTCAATTTAATTAATCAATCACGCGATGAGTGATAAAGTCTGTAATTGAAGAAATAAACAAATAGTATAAATAAAGTCAGGATTTGACCAAAATAAAACTCTTACACTTGAGTTCATCAATCATAAATTATATTTTAGCAATCAATTAATCGCCTATTGGTTGATCAAAATAGCACCGGCGGAGAGAGTGGGTAACAGAATAAAAAAAAAAACCCTCAACGGATTACCGATTATCTACCAACCACGACGTATTGTCAATCATTCCAATCAATCATATGATTGAGAGGTTGAACTATGTAAAAATAACAAAAACTACCAAATAGTCCGGAACTTCTAAAATCAAATATTGCGGAATTTTCTAGAACCAAATATTCCGGAACTTCCTGAATCAAATATTCCGGAACTTCTGGAACTAAATATTTCGGACCTTCTAAAACTAAATATTTAGGAACTAAATACCAAATATTCCGGAAATTCTTATAACTAAATAATCTTGAAATTTTATAAGTAAATATTCCTGAATTTCTAAAACTAAAATTTCCGTAACTTCCAAAGACAAATATTCCAGAATTACCAGAACCAAATATTCCGGAACTTCGATAAATAACCAAATATTTCGGAATTTTCTAGAACCAAATATTCCGGGACTTCCAAAATCAAATATTCCGGAACTTCGATAATTAAATATTTCGGAACTTCTAAAACTAAACTAAAACCAATTATTCCGGCACTTCCAAAACTAAATATTTAGGATTTTTTTACCAAATATTCCGGAACTTCTAGAACCAAATATTCCAGAACTTCCAGAACCAAATATTCCAGAACTTCCAGAAGCAAATATTCCAGAACTTCTAAAACTAAATATTCCGTTACTTCCAGAGCCAAATAATCCGTTATTGCTAATACCAAATATTCCGGAACTTCTAGAACCAAATATTCCGTTATTTCTAATGCCAAATATTCCGGAACTTCCAGAACCAAATATTCCGTTATTGCTAATACCAAATATTCCGGAACTTCTAGAACCAAATATTCCGTTATTTCTAATGCCAAATATTCCGGAACTTCCAGAACCAAATATTCCGTTATTTCTAATACCAAATATTCCGGAACTTCTAGAACCAAATATTCCAGAACTTATAAAACTAAATATTCCGTTACTTCCAGAACCACATATTCCGTTATTTCTTATACCAAATATTCCGGTACTTCCAGAACCAAATATTCCGGAAGTTCTAGAACCAAATATTCCAGAACTTCCAGAAGCAAATATTCCAGGACTTCTAGAACCAAATATTCCAGAACTTCCAGAAGCAAATATTCCAGAACTTATAAAACTAAATATACCAAAACTTGTAGAACCAAACATTCCGGAACTTCCAGAACCAAATATTCTGGAACTTTTAGAGTTGATTAGGTACGGAACAACACGATCATAAAACATGGTCCTGTAAATGTTTTCGTTAAAAAAAGCTGATTGAAGTTGACTGAAATCCTGGCCTTGTGGCTATTTTCCAGCTCTGGCACGTCGACATTTTTTTTGTTTGTTTTTTGAAACAAGAACTTTTTCCGTTATAAATTTTTAATAACGTGATGATTTTCCAGTACCAAGTTTCAACTTTGTAACAACCATTCCTGGAACGTTCTAGCAGATTTAGAAATGCAGCGAACCCCGTCTTCTGGGTGATTATAGTGATCCATATTGCGAATTATTGTCCTCCAGCTCTCTTGGATGTTCCAGAACCAATATTTTTTTATAGAAAAATTTTCCAGCCGCGATTTTTCATAATGTGAATTTTTTACCCCGATTTTCGAATATTCAAATTCAACATCGTGACGGCTAGTTCTGGAACTTCCAGGACCCAATATCCTGCAAGCTCTAGAACCAATTTTTTAA